AGCTTCTATAAGTTTATCTTGCAAGTGTGACTGTATCATATGGCAGTAAATGCTCCTCATTATTATCGTCTAGTTGAACACAAAAGTGTGCACGTGGAAGTTATAATCTCAGTTCCCACATTTGCAGATTCAGTTAGATATTGCTTGATATTAAACAGATATCCTCAATGAACGAGGAGTCGGGTTTATATTCACTTGGTCACTAAAGGAGCACAGGATCAGAAAAGGAATGGGAAAAAAGCTTACTACCAGAAAGATCATATCAGAAAACAATTTCTGACGAAAAAGTCTTTCTTTGGAAAAATAGTTCCATTATTTCCAGGGTCCCCTTTAATTCCTTCCCAATCCACATGCAAATACATGTTCAGAATTGTGTGTTAAGTTCACTCAAAATCTCGGATCTGTTAGACTGTCAGTTTACAAATGCTGAATTTCAGTCCTCTTGCTCAGAGACTAGGAGTAGGCCATCACTGGCCATGCCTTTGTTTAACCAAATATTAACTGCAAGTAGCTCAGAAAAGGACCATGAGATACAACTGGGGATGTCAGGGTTAAGACTCTCATAAGTAGATTATATGTTGAGAATGGCCCAAAGTGGGTTCTCTAGATAAAAGGTCTGCTCTTGGTGAAACTAACACCTGAGGCCACTACCGTATCATAAAAGTCCTCACCTGCAAAGTCTTTGGTGAGTTACAAGGAAATTCCTCTCTTTGGGTAGATGGTATCCCTGTTTCTCCTTTAAAATGACAGTAGTTACTGCATACAACCCATAATTAGGCAGATCAGAAGGCACCTAGAAGTCACCATCTCAGGCCAAAGCTCAAAGGAGTTGAGATTGAATGCCAAGAGGCCAGGGCTGTCCTAAATATTTGTCTCAATGTTTTCACAGTCAGCTTTTAAGTTCAAGTCATAACTTCTACTGAAATCAACGGGACTTGCCTACTGTTTATTAAAATAAAATCCTACCTGAATGATAGTATATCCTGTTGGAAAAGGAAATGGTGGGAGCTGGGGATTTTAACCTTCTGTTCTTCCAAAATTCAACCTAAAATCTGCTAAAATGATCCAGAAAGGCAGTACCTGAAACAGATGTTGTCAAAGAGGCTATCCAAAATGACCCCTCCAATCTAAAGTAAGAAAAACAGAAACCTTGAGGCCATACCAAAGCAGAGGGGGCAGCCAGCCAGTTTGAAAGCAGAAGGATGTGTTTGGAGTTCTAACAGCGACATCTCCCTAGCTTTAACTTATAGATACTAGTCCCCGAAGAAAGCACGTGCCATACCGAGTGTGTGCCAACTGCAGCATCCAGGCAAATATAAAGCCTATGGAATAATTGTAATTAGCAAATACCTGTGCCCTGCATGCTCTGGGCTCTGGCCAGAAGGCATCTGCTTCTGGCGTCTTTTCTATGTTTCTATAGTCCCCTTTCTGGTGTTTATTTATTATAAAGCAATAGTATAACAATATCAAAGAAAATTTTAACAAGAAAAAAATTTGCATAATCCCACCATCCCAACACAACTGATTTCAATTGTCTGTGTTCCCAGTCTTTGTTCATATGCGCACTTATTTTTACATAGTTGTCATCCCTGTTTATGTTATTTAAAGGTGATTTTATAGATTCTCTCTGAGAACTGGCAGCCTCATTAGAAATAAACAACCCACTGAGCAAAGGAATAGAATTATTTACATGATCTTTGAGCTGAGAAATATCGTTTATAGACAAACATCTCAAACTATCAAACAGTTTTACAGACAAAAGGAAGCAATTTCGTATTTCTTTTTCTTTTAGCAATGGAATGTGCTTCACAAGGGAGGGAAAGATGTGGGGGTCAGGTGGTTAAAACCAAACATTGGGGAGCAATTCACAAGCCTGAAAGAAATCTGAATAACACAATTAAAGAATAAATACTTGGGTTAAATCTTCTTACATGATTTGGCCATCCAGTAGCCAAAATGGAACACGGACACACAAATATTTACAATGACACAAAGACGAGATCAGCAAGAACGAAGTCATTATCCAACACGGTGACTGATTTGAGGGGATGTGTCATCCAAAAATCTTCATGGGATGATGACAACGTGCTGGATCCTTGCTACAACATTAACGGTCTTTTCTTTCTTAAATAAATAATCTCTGCTGTGCTTCTCACCCTTCCCTGACTTTCCCATTGCCCTATCCCTATCTCAGGACATTTTGGAATCAACATTCAATGATGCGCCCTCCTTATCTCAGGGCACGCTAGTGACTTTAAAGATCTGGATAGACTCACCAGTGTCAAGATGAGCTACAAAAAAAACAATCCAGGAAAAGGGAATAAACTATTAACCATCTGGAGTACAACTTGGTCAGGTATACCAAGTGTAAATCCTTCAGCATCATTTTGGCAGGAGAAACAGCTTCTCTCTAATACTTATTAGAAATATACATAGCTCTCCAACACGGGGAATGATCTTTAGAAGCTGTTCTCATTTTAAAATTTACATAGATATAAGTCTGTAAGAGTAAAGCCTACTGGGATATATTATCATAAAATCTTGGTACAACAGGATGTGGTGAAGTAGTACAAGACTCCCTGTTGTTAACATGCTGAATTGAAAGCATAAAAGAGCAGCCATTTCTCTGCCTCCAGTAATCTGAAGGATCACTGCTCCAGGTGTCCTTCCACCAAAAAAATGCCTTCATGACATATAAGGGATGCTCACGGACAATTTGAGCTTCCCAACCAGGTTTGGGGCTCTCTCCAGTGGCAGGGCATAGGTACCAATGTACTGAATTCTATTTGCATCCCACCTATTGTTTCACTGAATTCCCTGGTATGATGAATGAAAAATTTTAAAATATTTAACTTTAAAAGAAATCAAAATTAAGGCCTCACTCTCTCTCACACATAAAACAGTATGGCATTAACATTTTCAGGCCCAGCCACGTCTTTGTGAAGAATAACATAATATGGTTCAAATTAATATTACCATTTGATCTTTTCACATTTGTTGTTTTATGCCCTTGTGCACATTTTCTAGGGGCAGGGGTCAAGCCCCTCCCAAATTTCATAGTCAAAGGAAACAACAGGAAATCCACCAGGGGTTTTATCTCCTAAATATAAACATGTGCACTATATGGTTGGATAGCAGAAACTCTCTAAAGAAAGTGCTTTCATTTTAAGGAATGAACAGATGATTACATGGATGGATGTGCCTCAGCAGAGAAGGAGAGAAGCCCGTGGCAGTGATCTCTTTCCCTCTCTTGCTAAATGCAGATAGGTTCTATTCAGATTCTTGACATACTACAAATCAAGGAGCCCTCTACTGCACAAACTGCTAGCTTTTCAAAGCCTTAGAGAAAAAACTCTGCAGAATTTATAAAACTGGTAACACTCAAAAGAGAAGCATAGCCTTTCTATGCAGACACCCTCCAGATATTTTTTTACTCTCAGAAGATTCAGGAAGTGGTGACTGTTGAATGTCTAATAAATTGATAAATGGTGAAATAATAGTCAAATTTTCATATCTTGCCCAAGCCACAAAAGGAACTCAGCTGGACTGATAGGTCTTGGGATACATGGTTGCAAAGCCAAAGGCTTTTCACTGGAGAACATCAAGATCTTTAGATACATGTTTTTGAAATTCAAAAGCCCAAAGGGCTAAGCATGGACACACCATATGCAGAAACAGAGATTAGTGATATATAGGGGAAATAACAACAAGTACTTAGAGCCAAGTGTTGACTGGGATGTAGTTTTCACTAACCTCCCATTTCTTGCAGAGTTGAATGCTTCCAATATTTCTGTTCTCCATATCTTAAAACTTTTTTAATGTTTGCTATAAATTGTGAAGATAAATAAGATTTTATTATCAGCAAATGTTGGGTAATGGGTCTATCTCCTCCTGATGTGCCCTTTTACAGTTGCATACGTTCCACAAGCACAAAACAGGATTAAATTAGGTATCTATATCTTTGTTTACTTACTGTCCAATGAAGATTTCAGTATTTCATGCTTATATTATCTTCCTTTTGGCTCTTAGAGAAAGCCCCATCTTTGTTTAAGTGTGGCCTCTCCAATCAGGATTTCCTAGGTTTAAGATCTAGACTCACCCAACTGGAGTGCCATAGTTTTGGTGTGTCTTTTTGCAGGTATCATGAAGATGAGCAAGCAAGTTTATACAAATGACAAATCAACTACCACTTAAGCATCATCATGAAAATGTGATAAGATTTCACCATCTGAACTTTATTTAGATAGTTTTTAAAAGCCCTTCCTGAACACACATATTCCTCTCTGCTTTTGGAAAATGTCATAAAAGAAACCTTTTCCAATACAAATGCAGACAAACAGGTACACAAACCAAGCCACCACTATAGAAAAAGAATAAAATTTGCAACTCTATGAGGGCATGGACTTCCACATGGTCACACAGTACTTGCTCTGGGTTTTTTTTTGTTTGTTTGTTTTGTTTCATTTTGTTTTTTTTTGTTTGTTTGTTTGTTTGCTTGTTTGTTTTCTTTTTGTTTTTTACTTTCTTTTTTTAAAAAAAGTTTTGACATCTTTTTTCTGGACATCTAATGACAATGCAAGTGAAAAACATTACATTGGGTAAGGAGTTTTGAAGGAGGTTTGAATGCAAGAGGGACTACTCTCTAACTTAAAAACAAACACAACACTATGGAGAGGGATTGTGCATCTTTGAGAAATCTTTTTTTCTTCAAAGTGAATGCACAAAATGAGGGGATTCACTACTGGCTCTTTCGCTTCACGGTGGAAGTGACCTTTTTATGGTCACTTCGACATTGCTGCCCTGTATGGGCCGCGATTCAGGCTTACAAATAAATTACATAATCTGAGGGAGTAGGAAAAAGGCTTATAAGAAGTTTCTATTCATCTCAAAGTTAAAGAAACCCCACCCCATTTGACTGTCTTTTCTTCCATCTTTCCTGCAGCGGAGTTTTATTTCAGTCTTACTCATGAGGGAGATGGTGTGGGGTAAGGCTGGCAGTCCTAGCGGCTGCTGTTCTTAATCGCTTCTTTTGCAGCAATAATCAGAGGAGTCAGGCTGGAGAGAGGCTTGGCTAATTTTAAAAATGGATGCTGCAAAAGGAAAAACAGAGGAATTACTGAAATTCTTTCCTCCAACAAGTATATTACTTTACACTTGCAAGGAGCCTTTTTTTCATTAAAATTTGTATTTTGTGGATCCAATTAAACATCATTTAAAAAAATATAGCGCCAGCTTTTGTTCTTCAGATGTTTTTGTCCTTCAGTGTCATGAAATCTTTGGGAAACTGACCGGCAGAGCTAGAAATTCAGAGTAGGTGTCTTGTAAAATCTCACTGTGTTTGGGAGTCTAACTTTCCGATTTTCTTAAATTGATGAATTTATCTGGAGCAGCCTTCAGTGCTTGAAAAACTGTGTTCCGTTGACCACTAGAGACCTTGACCCTGAAACCAATGGCCTCCTAACCGCTAAACCCAATAGTGTGCCTCCGCCATTTCTTTCTTGGTTGCTCTGCAGTACTTCATACAAGTGAATGTCCCTTCCTTCTTTGAAATGTTGTTCTCTTTCGGGGCCTGTAACATTTTACTGTCTCAGTTCTCTTCTATATGCATGCTCACTGACTGCTCCCTCCCTATCTTCTTTCTGGTTTCACGTCCTATTTCCATCTCCTATAACTTGACTCTCATCATCTTTTTTTTCTAACTTAATTCCTTGGAGAGTTAATTCCTATTCATGGTTCCAACCAAGCTCTCACCAGCCTTATGGAGATGACTCCCAAATATCCACTGTGTGACCTGATCTCTTTCCTGAATTTTGGTCCTATTTCTCTAATTGCCTATTGGTTATTTCCTTTTCAATGTCCTCCTGCCACCTTGAACTCAACATTGAAAAATGTACATTCAATCAGGTTGACGTATGGCAGAAACCAACACAGTATTGTAAAGCAATTATCTTTCAATTAAAAATAAATGATTTTTTAAAAATATATAGTTTTTTATACTATGAAGTTTCTCAAACAGGGTACTGTTATGCGATGTAAGCTATAGGGGCTTTGGAGTCAGACTACCTAGGTTCAATCCACTCCTCTGCTTATCACAGTGGTTAAATGAGGTAAGCGACAGTTTCTTGTAAGCTATATCAAGGCCAATCAATGTTAGTCAGTGTATTATTATCCTCTATCACTTCTGCTTTTGCTGAATGCTACCATTGGTTTGATATTCTGAAGTCACTTTTGTATTCTTCTTATGTTTTACATGCAATCAGTTACCAAACGCTGTCTTTTCAATACCTTTTACAATGATCTCTTGCTTTGCCTAGGCCTAATCAACTTAATCCTGAATTATAAGAATAACCTCCCCCACCATCTTCCTGCCTCCATTTGTTTCTGTTGCTAATTCTTATTGCAGAACACCAGCTTCATCTTCCTGAACAAAGCTTCTATCATGTGTGTCCCTCAGATGACTTCAGTGTTTCCCCATTACCTACATCCCCTATGCTTTAGCCTGGTGTTCAAGGCTCTCTACAGTCTGCCACCTGCAGCTGTCCTGACTTGAACTCTACTTCAGCCACACTACCTATTTTCTGTTTCTTTGAACCTTGCCTACATGCCTTTGATCAGGTGATAATCCTTCCATCTGAAATTCCTTCCCCTTTCCCCCTTAAACTATCTAAGACTGATCTGTCTTTTAAGGCCCAGTCAAACTCTTTCCCTTTCACAGACATCTTCTGAATGCTATAGGCCACAGACACATATCTCTAATCAATTATGACATTCACTGTTTAAGTGACCACTTGGTTCCACTGAGTCTCTGAACAATCTTGGTTTTTTTTCATATTCCCAAGGAGACTGTGAACTTCTAAAGAGTAGGAATCATGCCTTTAAGAGATTTGTATCACCCAGTGCACTTAAACCTTGCAAATAGAAGTTGCTCCATAAAAATCCATTTATTTGTGTCTTTTCTCAAGTCTTCCAGTGGTGTGAATGTCATGTAAGTCTCTGTTTTCCAACCTCTAAAATGGACTAGAGCCAGAGAATGGAGTAATATGGACTTAAGGTAATATGCAGATCATAGCTTACATGTATAAAATCAAAAGATGCAACAAACACACTCTTCAATCTTCTCAAAATATCATTTTGCATCAGTAATCTGACTGGTTCAGATAAAAGTATTGTTGAGTAAGGAATTAACTAAATAATTGATTTAATTACATATATAACTGTATAGCTACCTTAAGTGAAACTGTATTTTCACTTATCTTTGAAAGAGACATGATAGGAATGTGTACAGGATGTGTATGTGGGGTGGTAGGAGGAGTGAAAAGACATGGAAATGATGTACTCAAAAGTTCCAATTTTTCATCTATAATTTGAGGCTGGAATAATGGGAGGACTAGTAAAGGGCTATTTCAGATAGGACATTTTCAGGCCTCATGACAGCCTCTGAAATGCTCACAGGTAGCAGAAAAGAGAAAGTGTAGCTTTTCCAGTTCCTCCAAATTGGTTTATCCCAGGTATGACTTAGGTTGGGGTAAGGTATTTTCGCCTGAGTGTGGCTCTCTGTCTCTGGAAGGAGTTCAGAAGCAATAGGAACTTTTTTTGTTGTTTGGCCGAGAACAGACTGAGTCCATCGTTAATCACACTCTTCATGACCAAATATTATGCCTTTTGTTTAACTGGATTATGTGTTTCAAAGTCAGGGAGGACAAGTAGTCACTTTTCTTGGCTTGGCTATTACAGATCTTTATTTTCTTCCCCGAGGGACCATCCCCAGCAGTGATCCTGGGCATGCATTGCTTTATCAATGTAAATGCTTTTTTCCACTCTAAATTGGTTTGTGTGGAAGAAAGACAATCCAGGGCTCAAATTCAAGTTCTGGCATTCAATACTTGTGTGAGCTTTAATTTCTATATCCATACAGGGATTAATAACACCCATCTTAGAGTGTTCTAAGAATTAATGAGATAAAATGTGTAAAAAATTTGGTATCAAGTAGGTACTAATTATCATCATATATACGAATCCCTGAGAGCCATGAAAAGGACAAATGGTTACAGAGGCACTCACCACTGGATGGTACTCACCCAGGCAAGCAGGTGCCTGCCATTTGGCATCACAAGCAAAGGGGCTTTGACCAGTAAAGCATTAGAGTAGCAAATGCCATGGAAATAATTGCATAGTTATGTAGAGAATTACCTCCGGCCAAGAGTACCTGCGTACAACATCCAGGGGCACAAGCAAAGTTTAGAACAAAACAGCAACACCAGAGGTTCACACTGTTTTTTCCCCTTTCAAAATAAGACTCCAGGAAGAACAAAAGAGAGTTCTAGTTTAAACTGCCAACTTCTCAGAAGAAAGGCCACATGCCAATCCATTACATATTAGATGCATGCCTATATTTCTGTGCCTGTGATCTCAAATCAAATGGTTAGCGCCTAACTCGAACTAGGCATCTCTCAACAGAGTTCTCTGACTGTCACACATCGAGGTGGAAAAGCTCAATATAATGACTCTCTCTTTATAACTGTCCTATTTAATTTTCACCTGCAAAAGCTCCTTGGCAGATCCTCGCCTATCCACATCCATCTCAAGACAGCGATTTAAAAAGTCGCGGAATACAGCAGACAGTCTCTCAGGATTCTGCAGCTCTGGAGTTCCGTTAGTGGCTATCAGATATAATGCCTGTAGGAAAAAATCAGAAAAATCTATTCAGCACATACATATTAGGATCTTGAGTTGACACAGAAGACACAAATCCAGTTTCTTCTGATTTTTACCTTGGGTCTTAAAAACTCCAGTTTAGAGAATGACGTTGGCATACACTGCAAAGTTTCTGTAACACTGAGAAATTATTACTCTTGGCAGTAACTGAGGAACAGTGAGGTGCCCTACCCTCAATAGTTTAGAAATAAGGTTATAAGGCTGTCCTCTGAGAGCTAAACCAGTAAAGTGAAAATGTTAGTCTCTCAGTCGTGTCTGACTCTTCTGCCACCCCGTGGACTGTAGCCCATCAGGCTCCTCTGTCCATGGGATTCTCTAGGCAAGAATACTGGAGTGGGTTGCCATTTCCTTCTCCAGGGGATCATCCTGACCCAGGGATCAAACCTGGGTCTCCTGCATTGCAGGTAGATTCTTTACCATCTGAGCCACCAGGGAAGCCAGTAAAATCCATATAAAATGAATGTGTCATTAACCACCTAGGAAATGAAACCAAGGAACTGCCTGGGAATCTGTGGCCACAGAGTTAGAGAAACACACACACACACATCTGAACACACTGATATAAGTATAACCTCTGGAAGGCACAGTTGCAAAGGTGATTGTAATTTACTAACTGTTTATCTTGATTGGAGAATATTTGTGAGTAGACCAGGGATAAACAGGGGCTTCCCAGATGGCTTGGTGGGTAAAGAATCTACTTGCAATGCAGGAGACACAGGAGACTTGAGTTCTATCTCTGGGTCAGGAAGATCCCCTGGAGTAGATGTACCCCTATAGATTTTAATTAGGTTTCCCATGAAAGTCTAGCTATAATAGAAAATGTAAGAAAAGCTGACATTAGTAATCCTGTATCCTACTGTAAGTTGTGTGTGTGTGTGTTGGAGAGAGAGAGAGTCATTCAGTCATGTCTGACTCTTTGCGACACCATGGACTGTAGCCAGCCATTCTCCTCTGTCCATGGAATTCTCCAGGCAAGAATACTGGAGTGGGTTGCCATTTCCTTCTCCAGGGGAATCTTCCCAACCTAGGGATCCAACCCACATCTCCAGCATTGCAGGCAGATTCTTTACTGCCTGAGCTACTAGGGAAGCCCACTGTAACATACTAAGTTGCTAATATATCTCTGAGATCTTAGTTGAGGTCACTGAGAGAGATCAACTCATGGTGTGCTGACAGAATCAAGGGCCCTAACTTTCAAGGCACACAGCTGGACTCAAGACCATGGTTAATTCACAAAAGTAAACTATCTTTCAAAGGCTTCTGAGCTCCTGACAGCCATAAAAAGCTGGCCATTCCTCATGCCTCCTCCAAGCAAATTATTCTAGAGTATTAAGTACATATTAGGAATCACATTAGACACTGGAGATTCAAAGATGAATAATGGAATGTCCTACTTTCAAAGGTCATACAGTTTAGTGAAGAAGAGAGACTTACATATACCCACCATACAGTGAGACAAGAGCCAATCAGAGGAACGTTGCAAGTGCCAAGTCAATACAAGGATGAGCCACTGACACCATAGCTCAGAGAACACTTCACAGAGGAGCTTGACATTTGATCAGGGTCTTGAAGGATACACAGGAGCTTTCCTGCAGGTATCACCACCAGGGTTATGCCTGCCTATGCAACCAGACTCCTAACTATTACGAAGACATGCTCCCTCTTGAACTGGCTTGGACTTTGTAGCAAATTATCATCTCCTTTTCCCACCATGGATCTGAATATTATTATCAAAAACATTTCTATCAAAGTCTTTTCCCAGGCCTGTTTTCATCAGCTGGTGAGAACATCTCTCCTCCATTCCAGAAACCTCCACAGATGTACTTTAGAAAGGGTTAGGAAGGGCCATTTCATCCAGTGGCTATCAACCTATAGCATGTATCGGAATCACCTAGAGGGGCTTGTTAAAAACAGATCAATCTGGAGAGGGGTCTGAGAATTAGCATTCTAACAAGCATCCTGTTGATGCTGAAACTGCTGGTTTTAGGACCACACTTTGAGAACTGGTTTATTCCACCCCATTAAGCAATGGGTTTAATGATTAATGCTCAGAGCACCTGTCCTCACAAGCCATCTTTGTTCTGTTATTAAAAGAAAATTGTTACTGCAAATGACATTTGCTGCCTCCTCCTAAAACTCTCTTATTTCAGCTGGGCACAATTTCTGCCAACCTCTGCATCCTTTGCTTGCTTTTTTTCTGTTCTGTAGCCAAACCCAATCCTAAACAAACACATCTCTTTTCTCCCTTTCCACTCTCCCTAAGTCTGTGTACATGCCATACTGTTTCATTTTCTCACTTTTCGTCTCACCTTTCTTAGCTCAATACATTCTACTCCAAATAATACTGCTCCTCACAAGTATATATATACAACTCTACTCAAGTCTTTCTCACCTCTCTTCAATTCATGTACTAAGAAAAAGATTGATGGGAAATACTCCAACATGTGAACAATGGTTCCTCCTGGGTGGCAGGATTATTAATGATGTAATCTTTGAAAACATTTTTTCAATTTTCCGAATTTTCTACAATGAATGTGACTGCTTTATTTTTTAAAATCCTCTAAAATATTATTTAAAAAATAAAATCTAAAAAGCTGTGCCATTCAGTTTACACAAAAGCCCTCAGCTATTTCTCTTTGTCCTCCTAGGATTAAACCTGCTTTTCATGCAGTACCACCCCTTGAGGGAAACAAAAACCCAGACAATTTCTTTTTCAGCTATTGTTTTCATTTTAATTGCAACAGTACATATTTCCAACTAATTTCCATTGCAGAAATCTACACTTTCAGTTATATTACGGCGGAACTGGCCTTTGTGGACTGGCCTGAGAACTTACTCACTAGGCATAATGCAGCTTCTATGGGAAAATGCACTCAGCATTCCAAATAATTAATTTTAAAATGAACTTGCATGTAAACTGGGCCCTATCTTTGTAAAAAAGAAAACTGCTACTCACTGCCCTGCTAATGAGAGACAAAACCAGTTGTGGGCAATACTACAATCACAGCAAAAAGGATTTTCCTAGCAAAGTAAAATCTTAGCTGAAGAAAGATTGAAGAAAATCAAACTAGGCACAAGTGACCACATTCTGGTTTTTATCTAAGTTAGTGAAAGCTCAAAAGAAAATGGGCTGGCTCAGAAACTGCTGTTGTTTAGTCACTAAGACCTGTCTGTCTCTTTGCAACCCCATGGACTATATAGCCCACCAGTCTCCTCTATCCATGGGATTTCCCAGGCAAGTGGCAAGAATACAGGAGTGGGTTGCCATTTCCTTCTCCAGGGGATCTTCCCGACTCAGGGATCGAACCCTTGTCTCCTGATTGGCAGGTGGATTCTTTGCCCCTGAGCCACCTGGGAAGCCTGGCTCAATAATTAAACTAGACTTATTTTACTCACAAGGGCTTCCCTTGTGGCTCAGCTGGTAAAGAATCTGCCTGCAATGCGGGCGACCTAGGTTTGATCCCTGGGCTGTGAAGATCTCCTGGAGAAGGGAAAGGCTACCCACTCCAGTATTCTGGCCTAGAGAATTCCATGAACTGTATAGTCCATGGGGTTGCAAAGAGTCGGACATGACTGACTGACTTTCACTTCACCATTTCACTCAACATAATACTCACCAAATCAGAAAAAGATAAATACTGTATGATATCACTTACATGTGGAATCTCAGAAATAAAACAAATGAGTGTATGTAACAAAACAGAAACAGACTCACAGATACAGAGAACAAACTAGTGATTAGCAGTAGGGAAAGGGAAGGGGGCAGGGGCTAGATAGGGGTAGGGAATTAAGAGGTACAAACTACTATGTATAATAATAAATAAGCAACAAGGATATATTGTACCACACAGAGATTATAGCCAATCTTTCATAATAACTATAAATGGAATACAAATGTTAAAAATTGTGAATCATTATGATGTAATCCTGAAACTTATTATTGTACATCAACTATGCCTCAATAAAAAAAGAGATTAGAGATTTCCTTTGTAGTTGGTTGCTTCTTGAATAAGAAACCCAGAATCTACTTGACTTCTCCTTCTTCCTCATCTAGAAAATTTTCGCTCCCCCAACTTTAGTAGCTTCAATTCATGCAACCTTTAGAAATGTCTTTCATACCCATCCACTTTCCTCTGTCCCTACTGTTATAATAGCCTCCAATAGGTTTTTTTCGTACTTAAGCCTCTGTGTTTTTCAGTCCATCCTCCTGAACAATCTTTCTTATCCAAAATCTCATCATGGCATCCATTTTTCTGCTTTAGCAATTTTTTTTTTTTGCTTTAGCAATTTTTATTGGCTCTCTATGGCCCACAGAGGGCTTCCCTGGTGGCTCAGTGGTAAAGAATCTGCCAGCCAATGAAGGAGATGCAGGTTCAATCCCTGGGTCAGGAAATGGCAATCCATTCTAGTATTCTTGCCTCTTGCCTGGGAAATCCCATGGACAGAGGAGCCTGGAGGGCTACAGTCCATGGGGTCGCAAGAGTCAGACAAGATTTAGTGACTAAACAACAACAATGTGGTCCATGGGCATGGTTTTCAAACTGTACTCCCCCAAATTCCCCTCAAGACTAGCTAAGTGGTAAAAGGGGTGGGGGAAGGAGATGGATGGAGAGATTTTAGGACCCTGTACCACATGTGTTTCAATCAGAGAAATACTTATTTTATTCTCTATTTATTTATGCTTCCTTTGTGGCTTAGCTGGTAAAGAATCTGCCTGCAATGCGGGAAACCTGGGTTCAATCCCTGGGTTGGGAAGATTCCCTGGAGAAGGGAAAGCTACCCACTCCAGTATTCTGGCCTGGAGAGTTCCATGGACTGTATAGTCATGGAGTTGCAAAGAGTTGGACATGACTGAGAAGCTTTCACTTTCACTATGCTTCCAAACAAGGTTTAATTTGAATCAAGGGGTCACTATAGCTGTTTGAAAACACTGGACATAGTAAAGATTCCTTTGCATGGCA